GAGATGGGGGGGGGGGGGGGGGGGGGGGGGGGGGCATGGCACGGCGTTTTGTATGATTATCTTCTTCTTTTTTTCCCCCCAAGTTTTTCATCTTCATCTCTTCATTCCTCCACATTCTTGTTTTTGTTTTGTTTTCCAACTACTACGAAGGCGAAGGGGCAAATCTTGTATATGTATATATATATCATCACGACTGCTTCGTACCGCTTCACATAATCCTTCTTTCAGTGTGAAATGTGCTCGTAGAATGATGTCTCGATAATGTCTATTTGCTAATGAAAAACGATCAAACTTTTTCCTGCACCGTCAAATCACATGGGAGGAAAAGAGCCAGCGAAGCTCATTCCCATGATGAAAAGAAAGCTCGTATAATCAATCTAGAATAAACAGTGCGATTGAAGGAGACAACTCCGATCCGATCCCAATCGAATGACATAACGCCCGCGAAAACGAAAAAAAACAACAAACGTAGAATCCCCGCGTACGAAGGCGTCTCTCAGAGGTCAGATCCGACCTGCCCCTGTCCTATCATGTCCTGCCCTGCGACCTGATCTGACCAAAAGATAAAAAAGATTTATGAATAAAAAAAACACCATCCCTTCTTGACCGTCTCTATCACGGTCATGAGAGTCTTATGAGAATAGAAATCAAGAGTTGGGAGAACAAAACACGGAATGAAGAACAGAGACGAAAAATGCAGACTGAAAGAAAGGAAAAGCAGGTACCGTTTGCTTTCCGTGTGTCCCATGGTATCAAAAGCCTTCCTCAACAAGGATTTTCGTGTGTTGGATAAAATGCAAAACGCCAGCTTGGAGACTCGTAGCCTCGTCATGAATCTCGTAACGCGAAAACGACAAGATGAAAAGATGGATAGAAAAAACAGGAAAGAAGCGAAGGGGAAAGAAAGAGTGAGTAGAGAGAAAAGAGTAGGGGATGGTGAGTGGAGTAAGGAGAGCAGGGCACATCACGCAACGGGCGTCTGCCGCGGAGAGAGGTGAAGATGGAGAAAGAGTGCCAAGAGTGTTGGGTCGCGAAATGCAGTCTCCCAGGTCGATCCACAGGTCTAGAAAGATCCTCGGGAAGCCTTCTGAGGAACATAGTTGGGCATCTCGTCAAACCAAGCCGATTCGTCATTGTACCGGTAGGCGTGGAACTCGATCCCATACGGCTTGGGCTCGATGGCGTAGAGGACGCCCAGCGGCACGTCCATGTCGGTGATGTCGTTGCGCGTCAGGTCCATGAAGTAGGCCATCAGGACGCGGCATACGGAACGGTGACCGATGATGAGGACGTGGTCGGTGATGCGCTCAATCTCGCGCACCATGTCGCGCAGACGGCTGATGACCTGGAGGTAGCCCTCGCCACCCACGCCGGGGTAGATGTAGTTGAGCTTGTCGTCGGCACGCTTCCTGAACTCGTCCGGGTGGTCGCGGGCGATCTGAGCGTACGTCATGCCCTCGAACTGGCCCGAGTTGAGCTCGTTGAGCATCTCCCAGTTCTTGACGTCGTAGTCATCGTCGGCGTCAAAGTACTCGGCCGTCTCGACGCTGCGCTGCAGCATGGACGTCCACACGCAAAAGTTCTTTTCGAGTTCCTGGTTGGCCTCGGGGTAGGGAGGGGTGTTGTCGCCGGGCAGAGGTGGGAACGACGCCTTGGCCACCTTGCTCTGCTGCTCCGCCAGCCACTCGCGGCGCTTGTGCGTGATGAACTTGTACAGGGCCTGGCCGTAGCAGTGGCCGCGCTCCGTCATTGGAGAGTCGCCGCCCAGCCTGCCCAGCTCGTTGTCGACGCTCTGGCCATGCCTAGTAATCCAGATCTGGCGTGGCGACAGGTTGAAGCTGGCAAGGTAGGTGCTGATGCCACCGCTCAGGAAACCCGTGAGCCTATTCTGGACCAGCTTGCGGCCGACATCAATCATCTGTTGGGGGGGGGGGGTCAGTATATGCTTCTACAGAGGAAGATGATGGTCAAAACAGAGGGGAGGAGAGGAGGAGGGGTTATATATGAAAAATAAAAAGATAAAAATAGAAATAAAGACCAACCTGAATGTATTGCAAGTTGCGCGCCTCCTCATACTCGCCGAGGGGTTCGTAGGCGCTCTCGTAAGCGGCAACACGGGCCTTGAAGTCCTCCAATGACTTGGCTGGATCCTTGTTCCTGTAATCGGGGCCAGACAGCTTGAGGCGCATGTTGGCCTCGAGCAGGTTCGGGTCGCGGCAGATGCTCTCGATGAAGAGGATGCCCAGATTCGGCTCCCTCGCCTGGATGCGGTCGACAATGTTCTGGCGACGCTGGATCGTGCTGTTGGTGGCGTCAAGGATGCCGACGGCACCACCGCCGTCCAGCAGGTAGTCGAGCAGCTCGTCCAGGGTCTCCATGGCGACCTGCTCCCTCACCTCGGCGGCCCTCTTGTTGGTGGGGTCAAAGAACTTGGCCGACTGGTCGTTCTCGTCGTGGGCGGCGGCATCTCCTCCGAGACGGCCGTCCCCGTCGACCTTGGCCGAGCCATTCAGGTCGAGAGAGGGAGGGTCGTGCAGGAAGGATGTCTCCTTGCGATGCGCCTTGTGGGCCGGCCGACCATTCAGGAGGATGGTGGCGGCCTCAACGGGAGGGTCGAGGCGAGCAGGCTCGGGGGCAAGTCTGGGGTGCACAGCGGCGGGCTTGCCTGTGGCAATGCGCCTTCTGTTCCCGACGTTGAATATTCTCGTCTCGTGCTGCTGCCATGACAGGTATCGTTGCAGCTTCTTGGTAATGTATGACTTGCCGCGAGCGGGCAAGCCCACCATGACAATGACAAGCTTGGCGGCGACATCTCGCTCGGGAATCCTGCCATCGGGTGAGACCTTGGAGCGCGTCATTCCCGGAATGTTGAGGGTCGTGGCATGCGGACGCACTCGGGGAGTCTGGGTGCCCGAGTTTTGTCGCACAGGGGGGCTGTGATGGGGAGGGGGGGTCTTGTCAGCGGCGGGGCATTTCTCTTCCCAGCAGGTCTGGGAGATAGATACTCACATTCTGGGAGAGTTCGGCGCCGTGGAATCAACACTCCGCGGATTCGATGGCGTGTCGGTCAGATCCTGAATATTGTGCATGGCTGCCGCCTGGGGCAGATGGGTAGCGAAACCATCGCGGGCGGCGAGTAGCAGCTGTGCCGCATCCTTCTCGGAAAGGGACTCTGTAGGGGAAGGAGGCTTCTGCACGGTGCCTGGGCTCAGATAACCATTCATGGCAAGCTCGTCGAGGGCTGGTCTATGGGGTCTCTCGATGGTGAAATAATGATTGATGGTGGGGGAGGGGGGCGGGAGAGAGAGAGTATCTCGGTGTTTTGTCGTCGCTGACCACTGTGATGAGCCGATGGTCGGTGGTATAGCGCACAGGAGGGGAAAGATGAAGAGAGGAAGGAGATGAAAGATGAAGAGGGGCAGCCGTGGATGGAAGAGTTGAGGGTCGTCAGGTAGTCGTCAGAGAAGAAGAGTTGTCTGTTGCTCGTGCGTGTCTGTAGGGAAGGAGCCAGATCAGAGGGTTTGGTGAAACATGAGAAAGTATTAAGGTAATAAGGTAAGAGTCAAATATTGATATGGAACTTCTGGAACAAAAGATGGGGGAGGATGGGTGGAAAGGTATTTGCGCGAGTCTAATATGTCGTCAGTGCACCTATAGTTTTTCTTTTCTTCTTCTTTTTTTTTTTCCCTCTTTCAATTGTATGCAAGTACAATGACTGGTACACACGGTACGCGCATTTTTCTCCTGATTCCTCTTCTGGGAGGGGGGGGGGTGCGGTACCTCATTTCTTGGTGGGTGAGTCAGTATGGGAACGGGTACCAGTCCTGGAGGGCCGAATGTACTGGACGATGTACCCGCTCCACGGGGCTTCATGTACCTTCTAGCGGACTCCGAGTCGTACCTCGTACGGGGGAACGTCAGCTACGGTGGGTCATAACGTGAGAGTGCTGGGACTCCTCCACGGACCATATCCGGGTCCCGTCCGTCTCTCGCTCCGTCTCACACATATTACTCTCCCTCTCCAAGCCTGCGGCGCCTCTGGGCGCAGGCACGCAGTGTTCAGCGCTAGATGGGAGGCTTGGAAGCCCTGCAGTGCCCTGCAGTGCCCTGAAAAAAATAGAAACAAAAAGGGCCGCCACTACGGGGTAATACCGACGACGTATTAGAGGCCGTGGGGTGACTACCTCCCATGCGACGTACGACGTACGACGTAATAACGGAGCCCAAGTCTGCAGATGCAGCCTCCAGTCTCCAGAGGTGCAAGTATTCGTACGGTTCATGTACGTGTGGGTACCGTGATGGGAGGAGTGAGTAATATCCCGCCGCACGTAGGCTGCTCGGCTGGACCACTGAACAGGCGCCGGATGGCCCAGACAGGATGAGGCAACACGAGCGCCTGCCTGGCTTGCTGTCACTGCTGTCGTCACTGCTGTTCCGCTGTTCCTCGCCTGGACATGCTGGCTCCTTGCTAACTTTTCACCTGCTGATCCTTCCCCTGCTACGGGCTAGCAGATACTCGCGAGGTACCCGTAGCCTGTGATGACGGGCCTATAACGCTTTGAGCCTGAGGCCCTGGGGGATGGGAGTACAGATAAGATGGTATCAATACACGGCACAGCGTAATAATATACGTCTGTAACCACGCAGACAGCAAGACATGCCAGACAGCAGGGGGGGGTCCCAAGGTTCAAATCTGGGTGTACTCTTAGCGTCTCTCGGCGTCACACCCCCCCCTGCGCCTCTCGCGTCTACAAAAAGAGGAAATTGGGTGCCTTGGCTGAACACCAGTAGCAATTTTTTCTGCCCCCTCTCCTGATTCAGTCGAGTCCCGGTACAGGTGCAGCATACATGTACGGGACGAAGGACTCGTAATACTCGTACTCGTACATCATCCTCATTTCATATATTAGCCCAGATGTAAATATAATAATACCCCGTTCAGATTGGACTCGAATCATCCACGGTAAAATGACATGATGGTGGTCATAATAACATGATGAGCATGATGCAGGATACGTGGTTATAATGCCAACGGGGACAATAGCACCGACACTCTGGCCGGAAGCTTGAGCCTCTTGATCGATGCTCGTACGTCGTACTCTCCATACCCGTCACAGGCTTACAAGTACTCGCACAAGCAGGATCCAGGACCTCTGCGCCGGTAATCTGTACACTGTCGACTCAATAAGACTGACTGTACGGCAATGACGAACAAAGGAGGAATGCCGACAGTCTTGTTCCACGGCTATCCAGAAAGAGACAAACCTTGATTGAGCCGATAGGCATAGAGACATTGGCAAAGAGTGCAGGTATAGATTACATGTACGCCCTTTTTCTCGGGCGCTCCGCCGCGACTAGCAAAGCCTTTTCTCTTTTTCGCACACACACAAAATGTTAGCCTCAACAACCTCGGTCATCAACCGATCTCTGGTGTTTGATATTGCCATGCTACAAGACGAGGCAGCTTGTGTGATGAGCAATTCTCAACTTCCATAATATTACCTATCACTATGAGTCTATACAGGTACAGATGTCCTTGTTTCGTTTTTTTTTCCAATGGACTCTCGAGTTTCCAACGCGAATTGATCAAGGGCCGGTGGCGGGAGGGCTGGGCCCCTTCTCTACACAAGTACGTACGTAGTCTTTCTCTCTCCCTCTGCCAAGACGACCGATGGCCTGGCCCGTCCTAATTCCCACCCACCCACGGGAAGCCATAAACGGATGAGAACGCTGCAGGGACTCCGGAGTTCGGACTCTTTACTCCCAACACCAGTCTGGAATTCGCATTGCCTTTTCTCTCCTTCCCTCTCTATCCCCCTCTCTCTGACTGACTGACTGACCGACTGTCCGACTGTCTGACTGTCTGTCTCCTTGTGCCCTTGCGCGTATATGCGTACCATCTCGATAGGCAGCGGTCGTCGCTCTATGACGGGGTGCACCCCCTCCTCCATCTCCTCTCCCCCCCCCCCCTTTCTTGAAGAACGACAGTGACAGGGGGAAGCAGAAGAAACATCCACGAGCCGCCAAACCCCCTCTTTTGCGGGGTTGCGCGTTATTATAGCAGACCGCAGCGTGTGAGAGGGGAGATAGTGCACCGAATATTCATGTACGACACCCTGCAGAGTATGGATTAGATATTACGGGGCACGCCGTCATTTTGAGGAGTGCCTCCCTCTTTTTCTCTCTCTCTTCCCTCTACCCCAAGAGAGAGGGCACGACTACACGACGCACATATGTGATTATCGACATGGGTAATTGCTCTGCAGTGCGTGCAGCAGAACAGTGTATCCGGCACTCTATCATGGAAGATGGAGTAATAACTGCACACTGTGCTACTAGCTGTTCAATGACCCAATGACCCATATATGCTTCCTATGTAATATTACTTGCCCTCTTTGATAGCACTGTATTCGGTTCTACTCCGTAATACACATCTTTTGGTGTCACCTTCTACGAGTGAAAAGGAACGGATTATCGAACACTAATGTTAATTAATCAATCCTGAATAACAACAACAACAACAACAACAACAACAAAAAAGAACAAAAAAAAAAAAGAGGTAAACAGCCTGGGACCTGGTTCTTGCATGCCCTGCATCCCTCTATTGAGATTACAAGCCTCATCTCGTGGCACGTAGCAGTGCGTTGGCTCACTTCCTCTTCCTGTAGTATCAGTGGTATTACTACTACCAGTATCATCACCACCATCGCTTGGCACCAACTGGCACTACAACTCTGTGCATATTGATATGATATTGAGCCTCAACAAGAGTGTGCCACTCACCCTACATGTACTGCCGCGTTTGGAGTAGTGCGACACAACACCATTGAAAGAAGACGGGGGGGGGCAACGCAGACCAAGCCGAGCAAATCAGGAATGTGGAAAATGTGTCGCTTCCCGCGCTCGCGGGGG